TTGTTTTGTATTTATAGTTCTTTTTTAGAATTTGGTATGCTTTCTCAATTTGTATTCAAATCACTATGTATACTATCAATAATTGTATTTATTAAAAATTTCATGTTGCATGGTTTATGAATCTTGTATTTGTCCCTAATTTGTATTCATCCAAATGTATGGCAACTAGTTATGTATTTTATTTATAAGAAGAACAACTTTCTATTAGTTTATTTGTATTCTAATACAAATACAAATAATAGACATATTGAAATAAATACGACTTAGAAAAGGAAACAAGATTTTGCAAAGAAAAATAAATACACAGTGAAAAATGTATACAAATACAAATGTATTTACTAAATAGCTACATTTTATTTGACATACTTATTGGAATGAATACAAACTAATAAAGAAATACAAGCTTCATTATACAAAATACAACATGAAAACTAGAATGGATACTAACACAAACGGTATACATGTTGGATTAAATACAATTTAAGCAAGGATACAAAATTTTAAAAAATAAAACAAATACACTGTGAGAAAAGTATGGCAATTACAAATAACTATAGGTGTTCAAGTTTCTAAATTAAAAAATAAATAAATTTAATAGATAAAACTATAATGTATCATCATAAAGTTTCATAATAATAATTAGTGAGAATGAGATATTATATTTTTTGATTATGATTTTCATAACAATAATTAGTGAAAAATTGATATTGAAATTTTATAGATGTGGTACTTCTTTAATTTCGTGATTTTTATGACAATAATTAGTGAAAATTGGATATTTATTTTGGTTAATAAAAGTGTTTAGAAACAAAAAAAAAGATTACCAGAATTTGATATTGAATTTTTTTAGAACAATGGAGAAACAAAAAAAATTTTTAATAACGTGATGAAAAAAAGAAAGAAATAGATAAAAGTTGGTGTATTTTAATAAATTGTAACTGATTAAAACTTTTAACATTTGTTCCTTTTTAAAAATAATAATCTCCCCTAAATTCCTCTCAATCTGTTATATAAAAATTATATTTTTTTAAAATAAAACAAATAATAAGAACATAAATAAGATACATAACAAACTTAAATTTTGACATTTTTACTAAATATTGAAAGTGTTGTTAACGAACCCTCTTAAATGTTAAAATATTGACATTTTAAAAAATTTCTCAATAAATTGCGACAGTCAAAATGAATAGATGGATGCAAGGCGTGCGAATTTAAGACTATGCGAGCGGTGCGGCTTTAAGGTTATGCAAAACGGGGAAGGATGTGGGACGTCCAGTTGAAGTGGGTTTTTTAGAAACTAATGCAGTGTCGGGCAGGTTACAAGTCTATGCGATTTTATACAGGTTCAAACTTAATTTTAATTTTTACATGTTATAAGAGTGATAAAGCATTCTCTATTAAGATATTTCTTTAAAGTTAAAAATATTTAAGATAATAATTGAAAATGGTTCAATCAAAATTAATACAATTTCTTACATGCTTCTTGATAACTTCTAAAAAATAAAATTTTAAGTCATTATCTATTAAATTAATACTATAACTTAACGAAAAATAAATTTATTTTTATGAATTTTATTTTTAGTATCAAAATTACCTAAAAAAGAAAAATATTAAACAATTTATACGAACAGAGCAGAATGGATTGAAAATGAAAAAAATTGTTATATAGAGCGGCTTAATATTTTTACGGGTGAAGCTCAACCCCCGGCTCACCTCTTCCCGGCACCACCCTATTGCACCTTGTGAATACAAAATCAAATATTTGCAAATTAGACTGTTTCCAATCTGAATTTTGTAACAATACAACTGCAACTTCCAGCCTGAATACAAAACAAGATGTTTACCCTCGGATTCAAAATAATACATCTAATTTAAAATATATTAAATACAATAGATTATAAATAGTAATTTTTTAGGTATACAAAGTCAAACTATATATACACGATATATTGGTTTGATTTAAACTTGGTTTGATTGTTTATTTTGTTAATATCACATTTAATCAAGAGTAATCGTTTATTTTTTACGTCAAATCAAACGAAAAATCATTTTTTGATTAGATTTGAGTTGTCGACTTGATTTGTACACCTCCATTGTAAGGCTAATGTCAGAGTGAGCCTTGTAAGACTCACCAATCCATCCGTCTACATAAGATTCTCATAAAGGTGTGTCAATAATTGTAGTAAAAAATAATAATTTGATACACAATAAACTCTATTAGTACTCCAGGTAAAAGAATACGAATGAATTTGAGTATATGTCCAAAAATAAAGCACTATTTTGAGACTTTTTCTAGACTTATAACAAGCACAAATAATCCTTATGCCCCATAGAGGGACTACATTAGGATTTTTTTAAATATCACAAATGAAAGAATGATCAAACCAAAATTTAAAAAAAATACAAAAATAAATTATGAGTTGAGATCCATGGAATTTAAGGTTCAAATCTCAGTAGAGACAAAAATATTAAGTAATTTCTTCTCATCTGTCTTAACTTTGTCAGGACAGAGTTACTTAATACATGTGTTATTAGTAAAAGTGTACAAATAACCCTTGAAATTAGTCGACGTACGCCAAGTTGAACCTGACACCATAGTTTCTTTTTTTTTAAAAAAAAACGGGTATATAGCTATACAAGACTCAAGTCTAATGAGTTATAGATCGAGTACTAAACCGGTTAAGAAACCCTAGAGTCTCTTTTGCTAAAAGCTCTATCATAGGAAGAAGGAGGAGGATGAACAATCACCCTCCTTCCTCGAGCAGAAAAGTTCTTCTGCTCGATAGTCCTGGCACTGAACGCTTTGCCTTCAGTGCCAGGATTAGGAGTAGGGGTACGGACGGGGTTGTAGAAAGATGGTAACAAAAGATGTTTATTTTTATTTCTCCATCCTTCTTCCTTTGGAATCCTAGATGTAGCTTCATGAGGTATGCTGCTTAATAGAATAACAAATGTTATTGTTATTATAATATTCCTATTTTGGGATCTCATATTTATGATTATACAAAATAAAAGTTTCTATTAGGGGGGGTCTATTTATACGCATGAAAATATTGAAACAACAATGTTTCAAGTCTTTTTCCTTTTTATTGACTGTTGACGAGAAGAGTTTTAATTAAAAAAAAGTTGGAAATTGAATGGGTCAGGCCCATCATGGACAGAAATGACTATCTAATGACGGGCAATATACGTAATTATTACTATCTAATTTTGATTTGAATCGTTAAAATCTTGTCAATCAGGAAATGAACTTTTTATATATATATATAATTACGGTAGGAACCCTCTAAATTAATATTGTCGGGATCATAAAATATTATTATTTATTCAAGATTTATTTAATTAATAAATTAATATTCATTTAAAGAGTGTTTTTTGTTATTCAATGAAGGTTTTTTTTATTATATTAAAATCATTATTTCTTACTAATCTATATATCATAATTTATTGAATTAATACAAGAAATAAATAATTCATGATTTCGTTTATCGCGATAATATTAAGGGAATCATATAACTATTTAGGGGTCTTTCAGAAGTATATTATCGTATCAAAATCAGTGATTTTTTTCACTGCCCAAATTGAAACCAAAGAAAATTTTGTATCTTAGGACGTAGAGTAGAAATCTAGAAGGTTCTGCTGTATTTTAAAATTGTGTAGGATTCATTAGAAAAAAAATGACCTCAGGGTTATCAAATTAGTGCTATGGGTTAAATCTCAACGAGTTACTAAATTAAATCATAATATGTTCAAAATTTGTCGGATTATGAATTGTGATTAACAAATTTAATCTAAACTAATAATGCTTAAATTAGTGAAGCTGAGTCCAAAATTTTGGCAGTGTTGTCGAAAAATTACGTTGATTTATTAAAATTCAAGTTTAAAAAATTAGTCTCTCACGACTTTTCCTCAATGTTATCTTTCAAAATCATATACAGATAATTCCTATTTGATATTTTAATGCAACAAAATTGGTGGCTACCATTAATTGGACAATCGGAATGTTTGAATAAAACAACTTACTGTATTATGCATGTGTTTTTAGGCAACAAAGAACAGACAATTAAGAAAAATAGCACAGCAGCCAAGAATTGAAGTCCGCAGACTATGGAAGTTTTATACATTCTTTTGTCTCAACTTATACTGTACACAGGCACGACATATTGTTATATTTAGTACCAAATTATTTTATTCTATTTTTTAGTCACGTGATTTAAACCACAAATTTCCAAGTCAAAGTACATCGATCCCCACTAATTTCTGTTTCCAGGAACCAACATTTTATAGCGCAGAGGCTTTTTACTTATTACTACAAACAAAGGTTTCAAATTTGTACTATTGAACCCAGTGCTACCAAATATTCTTACTTTTCTTTATAATTTGTGACTATTCAATTCAAGTGACTGGTGTCTCCAATTTAAGAGGATAAAGAAAGTACTCTGCCCCTCAGAGCTCAAACATGATATGATACCATTTGACTTACCACAAAATTAAAGAAAAAATCGGAAAGCGGAAACAGAAGTTACACATTTGGGTGGCTAGAAAAGAACAATTTCAAAGATACAATGTGAATGTCAACAATAGTTCCTATCTAGCTAGCAAGCAAGGTACTGATATCCCCCAAAAACAGAGAAAGGGGAAAAGCTAGATTCATCATCCCTCTCTAACCAGGCACAAGTCACAACCTAGGTGTGGTATGCAATAAATACTCACATATTGCAGCACATTCTGTGATGCGGAAAGAAATGGGGGCAGCAGATTCTATGGCAAAAGATGTTGCTAGAGAGGATTCAAACAACATTCAGTTGCTAAAGCAGATAGACAACCGAAAGAAAAGGCATCACAGTTGCCTGAACAGAAGATAAATCCAAAACAACATAAAGAAACGGAACTACGAATCAAAGTTCAAAATAGGAAGAGGATAAACTGCAGGAAGACTATAGAAAGGGAATGATGGAGAGCAAAACATGCAAGTGTTTCGTAGAAGCAATTGATAAAAGTAAAGAGAAAGAGATGAGAAGAATTACATTTATTACAGTTGCATTTACAGTAGTAACTCTGACAATAAGAACATGTCAATGCAAGATATACACAATGCCATTCACAATAGGTAACGAAGGAATATCCACTAAACCAAACAACTGCTTCATAGGCACACCAATGCAACAATATAGATCTACAGACGAATGGTGCACATAACTGCAGTTTTGAAATCCAAAGGGTGATGAAATGGTGACCTTGTAGTGACAGACCTCCATGACTTCGTCCTAGGATGGTATATTTGTACAAGCATAGTTGCTGACCTTTTCTGCTGCCTTAATCTTTGGCACTCCTTTGATTTAACCACGTTTAAATGAGTCATCACATGCAGCTCCCCATCCAATGCAACAAAGCCAACAGAGGATTCATCTGATGCTTTTCTTGGCAGACTTGTTTCCTTTACCCAACTATTGGAAGCCATTATGTAGCTACAAATGCAGCAAAGGACAAGAAAAATGTAAGATACGAAACACTAACTCCATGTAGACACTGACAAATTGATGAAATTTCCAAGTATTGTGCAACTAACAGAGTATAGGCGGTAGTCATACGCTAATAGGCAATCAGACACAATAGAAACTGTTCTAGCTAAATTAGGGTTGAATATGCATATTACCAAGAACTCTTAAAAGTTCTCTTTCAAAGAAAAAATCCTGAAAGCTGAAATTCAACATCAAATAACCCAAAGTTTCAAGTTCTATCACGAGGTTTAACAGAAAATACATGGATACACTTCTAGTTTAGAAGCTTTCTAAAAGCTGTATACTTTAAAGACTTCATATGATAGTGGTGAACCAACCCAGCCACAAAATAAATCAAAATTTTAAAAGAGCACATTGTAATACACCCAAAAATATAAACAAAAAGTTATCTTTTTCCGGTTTGCTATAACCGTCCAACATTGCAGGATCTGTTGGTATCTGCCATGAAACTGAGACCAATGATGCACCCAAGAAACATTAATTTGCGAAACCTCAGAACAAACAAGCTACAGTCAGATCAACCACTTATTCACATCATACTCCTTATAAACAAAAATATATGTAGACATATTCCTGAATAAATATTATGACTCATACAAAAAAAATTGAGTCTTCAAGTTCATATTATAATATATATCATACTCCTTATAAACAAAAATAAATGTAGACATATTCCTGAATAAATATTATGACTCATACAAAAAAAATTGAGTCGTCAAGTTCATATTATAATATGAACAATGAGCTGTTCTTCACCTATACAACAGAACTCAACATAATGTTCCACCACTATGTCCACTATTCTTATACCATAAAAGTTATAAATTTTCAAATTACATGCAATAAAACAGGACACGTGAGCATTCTTGCATTTCAGAGAGATACACGCACACATACACATATATATACCACTTGCTAACTGTGTTTCAGGTAGATAGGCGAGAAATGTTTATTCCATGTAAAAGAAGTGAGCTGAACCTACTTCACTAAGAAATTAATGACGTACAATTTCAGCCAATCCTTTTTATGCCCATACCCAATGAAATCTATATGATGTCGAAGAATGATTTATCTGTTGGCATCAAAAACTTTTAAAACCCACCCATGCGGTCATCAGTTAAACAACGGTCTAAAGACGAGTCACAAACTATATCCACTTACATTTAGTTCCATTGACTAATATGGTGTTCAATAGAGGAACCAAACAGATTGCTGTAATCACAATAAAGGGGAAAAGGCTAAATACCCGGATAGCCCCTTAAACTCGGCGAGTTTTGTAAGTTAAGACACTCCAACTTAACTAGTGACCAGATAGACACTTTTACTTGACAAAAGTGTCTTGTGAACATTTGTATCTATAAGAGTGTCGAATATTAAATGAGCAAATTAACTAATAACAGATGTAATTTTTTCTAAAAAGATATCACATGGTAATTATATTTTTTAAAACGTTAAAGCAACAAGAAAGAAAGAAAAAAATACGTGGTAATCCTCAACTGCACACTACTCCACCGTTCCATCTTTTCACTGCCATTTTTAGCCTCCTCCACTGAAGACCCACAATCTAAGAAGCTCAGAAACTCTCTATGAGTGGTGCTTTAAATTTTGAAGAGGAACAGAAGATGAAAGAAAAAATAGAATAGGAACGCGAGAGGTCACCAAATTAGTTTCAGAGATGGCTCAAAATCTTATAGTTTAAAGATTTATGCAAAAAAGTGGCATTCTAAATGTTAGTATATTCTTCATTGATGATTAGCTTAGGTTCCTGATGATATTATCTTCATAAAAAGATAAGTATGGTTATTGCTTAATTATTTTCAAATAATTCACTTCCCTTTGCAAAACCATAAGAGATAGAAATACCTTGAGATTTTTAGGGAAGCTTCGACACTTGTTTCCAGCCATAAATGGAGGTGATTAGCGTTGACAGGTTTGCCAGGGGGCACAGAGTCACAATAACAATGGCATTAAAGGAAAAGATCATTTATGGGAGCGACGTACAATGGATCTGGTTGATCTTTTATTCATTAATGTTGCCCATGAGCAAATTGGGTGTTGTCTGGCATTTGGATTTCTAATTTCTTTTCCAGTCTTGGATGAGGTATGTAAACTTGATTGAAGCAACAGCCAAGGAGTTAATGCAAAATGAAAAATCACAGAATTACAAAAGTCTCCAGGAAAATTACAAACAATCATCTCAATGAGTCTACGGAAGGCATCTGGATAAGAAATTTGAGACAAAAAACCTAACGAGCTTTTATTCTTGGCTTTTGGTTGAAAACAGTTTGCAACAAAATGAAAAATATAAAGTTCTTTTTTTGGTAAAAAGTTGTACGTTGAAGATCAGCATCGAGAAGATTCTGTCCCTTGAATTGAGTAACCAGCCTAGAAAGTCAATCGAAAGAAAAGGAAAATAATTTGGTAGAACTCTTCAGAATTTTCGACAAAACTGGGTCAAATCTAAGTACAGATAAAAAGGAGAAAAGTGATTTGTACGCATCTGTCTATACATTTATGAGAGTCACCCAATATCTCTTTTCAGTTCTCACTGGATATAGTAGCAAACTGGTTTAGTTAAGTGCACGCCAAACTTGGACACCACCATTATCCAAAAGAATTAAACCAAACGTCACTCTACTGACTAACTCTAATAAAAATATTTCAACTAATCAAAAAAAGAAAACATAAATCACAAATCTGGGCATCAAACAAACATACCAAATTGTCACCTAGTGCTTAATTCCTTGCCTCTTACTATGTTATCCACCCCTTTCCTGGTAAAAAGACACAACATCTAGGTAGGATATTTCACCAAAATCGACTCTTAGATGCACAATGTATTAGACTTGTCATAGTGATGTTGCAATGACTACGCTAGATGAGTGGTTCCTTAATTTACTGAATTTCAGTCAATGAATCAAACAAACCTCAATGCAAACTAGTCGGTGTAAGTAGGAAGAATCTTCTATGTCAATTCCATAATTTTCGGGTGCATACGATTCCAATAATATAACTTAATTCATTCTTAAAGCTTAATAAAGGATAATCTGAAACTAACAGTTTCATAAAGCTATTCCATAACTATACCTGAAAATATCTCCTCGGTCGAGCATGAATACCGCAGGAGGTTCCGAAGGCACATCCTCAAGCACCACAATCTTTCCAAGCTTCCACCTTTCCCCTTCTTCCCACATATCCCCAAGCTCCCTCCACTTCCCACCATTCTTCATTTCCATCACTAAAACATCCCTATAATATTGATCCACAGGAAACACACCGGAGACTGTCCTCGACTCGCCATATCCACCCATCACCCAAAATTCTCTCTCCTCTCCATTCCCAACAAAGAACCCAACACACCCTGCTCTAAACCTAGGTAACCCATCCAATGGAACCCACTCATCTTTCCTAATATCATACATCTCCACTGAACTCATCCTACTCCCAGCCGCCCCAAACATCGTATGCCGAGACCCACCACCCGCCACCAAAATCTTATCCAAATTAGGTGCCGCAGCACAGGCAAAACTCCCCCTAGGGTTAATCATAGGCGCCAACGTCTCCCATGAAGAACTCCCAAAATCAAACCTAAACGCAGAGGATGAAGGACATGGGTAATCAAGAGGGTAAGATCGTGTATCAAAAAGCGACCCACCTAACACATACAAATGAGAGCCGATACAAATCGATGTAAAATTACAAAGCCCATATACATGAGGGTTACAAGGCATCGGTGGAAGTGGAGACCACGCAAGATTTCTAGGGTCAAACAGGTAAGGCGAAGCAATTAAAGGATCTTGTGGGAATATACAGAGAAGAGGAGACAGGGTAGATGGTGGGAGATGCTTTTGCCGCAGAGAAATGATGATTTTGGAAGAGAAAAATTGCTTCCATGATTTACAAATGGATTTAAGACGTGAATGATGAGAGTAAGGAACGAATACAAGTATAATCGCTGCTAAATCGTTTGGTAGACCAGGGATTATAGTTGGGTTTAGGGTTTGTAGTTGATTTGTAACAGTTGTTGAAGAAGGAGGAGCCATGGGTTAATCTGAATGAACCCCACGTAACAATTTTGCTTCTGTATGAAAAAAAACCCAATCTTTTTGTGGAAATTTAAACATAGAGAGGATAAGAAACTCTACCCTGTTCAATCAACAGAGTTTTTCTGGTATGTCATCAATGGCGGTTGAGACAATTGAAGAAACAGAGATACTGGGTGACTCACTATGAGAGGGGCTGCTTGTGGAGTTTGCTTCTTTAACAACTTTTTGACTTGTAAAAACAAAAAATATACCACACAGACAACATAAACTTCTGACTTTGTGAAAAAACAATAAATTGTACATATTTGTCATGTTTTTTTGTAAAATTGTAATTAAAGAGTTATCAGAAAAAATCATTAAACTTGTTATCTTAGGACATAGAGTTAAAATTAGAGAATTTCCCAAAAAAGAAATAAGCACAGACAAATTAAAGTAGACAAAAAATATTAATAAGTGATTGTGGTTTAAAGTGTGAAATAGCACAAATGAATATATTTTTCTATAAAAAAAATGTAAATTACATAAATCTCATAATTTTGATATGAAATAATAATCTATTTCTCATAAATTTCCAATTATATAAATCCCTTTGAAAAATATCGGATACATAATTGAAGCTCAAGTATATAATATGTAACTCAGATATATTAAATATTGGCTCAAATACATCAGTATGTAACTCAGTTACATTAAAAATTAACTTAAATACATTAAATAGTGACTCTGATTTATTAATATACAGCTCAAATACATTAAACATATAAGAAATTTTAAATTTTTTTAAAAATAATAGAAATAAGTGAAATAAAAGACGTGCACATCTTTTTCTTTTTTTTTAATAAATGGTAAAAAGATTATTATTGATAGCAAAATATTTAGACCATATAGCACTTAAAAAGGTAGATGAGCCACCTTCCTCTAAAGCCTCAAACATACACAAATTTAGTTACAAATTTTTTGAACCAAGTATCTACAATTACTTGCTTTCCTATTATCCTTTTAAGAAATTCACTCTTTTTACTATTTTTTTCTTTATTTATATGATTGTAATCTTCATATTTATTATTATTTCTTTGAATAGTTCCCAATTACTTGCTCTTTCATGTGTGGTAAATTCAATCTCCCATATAACGATTGATATTTTCTTTCTTATATTGTTTTTAGTGTCTTCCTTTTATACATTTTAGGGATTGTGTCACATTTCTTATTTATATTTAATAATCAATTAATTTTTTCGTGTTTTTTTCATTTTTATTGTCCAGACACACTGTAAATGAATGTAATGTATTTAAATCTATAGTTTGCTTTCTCCATATAGACAACACTTATTATTTTCGAGTGAAATTTTTAATCGGATCGTTCTCTCTTATTTAGTAGTTTTTCCTGCCAAATGAAATCAACATGATGTTTTTAAAATTTAAAAATCAATTTGAAGATTTTTTTTTTTAAAATCTAGTAAATACATTATGTTAATGGAAAGAGAAATACGTACTATTTGTTAGACATCACATGTTCACCATTTTTAAAAAAAAATATATATACATATCCTATATCATAAAATTAATTATAAAATTTATCGCTAATTTAATATTAGTCAGCAATTAAGACAAGAAAAACAATTAGATAAAGTATCACTATGTGTGATTTATTTCAACCAATATAATATGCAAAGTGCACTTTGCCACTTTATCTAATTTTCTCTGTGCGAAATGCACCGACTTGATGCTTCTTTCTGAATCAAAATCAAATAAAAAATAATTTTTAAAAGTAATATTGTAGTATACGAAATATATAAGTAAATAAGAGGAGAAACTCAAACACGAGTCTATTCCCTAAATAGTCACCTAAGTTAAAGGAATTGTCTTAAAAATTATTTATGTTACATTTAGAACCAAAATACTATCAAATTATCACTATTTTCCTCCAAATATACTTGACAATTCAAAAATATCATTCTCTCCTAGTTAGTATGACATGTCATTAATGTCTTTTTTTAATAATAGATTAATTTAATCATTAAACTTATTTAACTAAAATAATGATCAAATTATTTTTAATTTTTTAATTAATTTATTAAGAATAAATTTTCATACTTAAAATCTTTTATCATAGTTAAATTTTTCTTTTTATGTTATGCAAAATGCATTTTTGAAACGTACTATAATCTCATCAATTTTCAATACTTATAAACACATACATTCAAAAAATATTGATATACAAATCACTCATGAACACTAATTTACTTCAATTAATTATAAATTGTATAGTAAATCAATAATTTAGAGGTCGATTAATTATTAAAAAATAACTATTTGGGTGCTTTGAAATTCACGTATACTGACAATATCTTTTTTTTAATAAGAAAATAGTAAGAGAATAATATTTATAGAAAATAAAATTTTGGTCTTTATTTATCATTATATTGATCTCATATAATAAGTATACAATCGAATTAAATTAGCAAATTCAATTTATTATTAGTTTATTTATTGATGTTTAATTGTATGAAAAGTTATAATATAATATAGAATAAAAGGATAAAAATAAAAATAAAAATAAAGTTAAACAATAATTTTCTCTTTCTTACCAATTTTTTGGTCAACCTTGCAAATTTATCTAAATACTTTTGTTTAAAATTTTTAAATAATTTAATTAGAAATTTTAAAATTATCAGGTAATAAGTGCACACTGAGATTTTTTAATTCAATTTTGCTAGGTGACAACATAAAATTACTAGACTTTTTACATTACTTTTCTTATAATCTTCATAAATTCTCGTGTAGTTTATATATTTATTTTGTAGAGACATAAGTTTGATGAATTAAATAGGTCTATTATTTTTTAAAAATTACTATTTAATGACAGGACATATCAACTAAAATTTAAGGAGATTTTGAGGTATTTAATATTTCTAATGGATAAAAAAATATAATGTCATTCACTTTCTTCTTCTTCTTTTTTCGAAATCGGAAGCATGAATTGCAAAATATACAATTAATATTATTGTAATAGTTAATTGACCTTTAATATTATTGATTTATTATAATACTTATGATTAGTTGATGTAAATTAACATTCATGATTGATTTGTATATCAATATTTTTTTAAATGTATGTGTTTATAAGTATTCAAAAAATACATTTTAAAAATGTATTCATCATAACATAAAAAAATAAATGTTTAATTGTGAAAAAAAAGATTTTAAGTATAAAAATTTATTCTTAAGAGATTAAAAATGATATGATCATTATTTAGTTAAATAGGTTCAATGAATTAAATTAGTCTATTATTAAAAAAAACTTTAAAGACAAGTCATGCCAACTAGGAGAGAGTAATGATTTTAAAGTGTCAAGTATATTTGGAGGAAAAAATAGTGATAGTTGAGTGATATTTGATCGTAAGTGAAACATAAATAATATTTCAAGGCAATTCTCTTAACTTGGGTGACCATTTAAGAAATTGACTCCTCAAACACAGATTATTAAACTATATAGCTAATTATATTATTACTCGTTAACTATTTGCTTTGTCGTAAGTTATTTAGTATTACAGAAACTTTATGTTCCAACAATATCATTCATTTTAATATTTTAAAATTAGGTGGTAAAAAATCAAAAGTAGAACATTAGGATTGTATCACCATCATGTATATCATGTATATCAATGTTCACCATTCATAGTTTTCTTATAGGATTGTATCACCGTCATGTATATCATGTATATCAATGTTCACCATTCATAGTTTTCTTACTGAATCAAATGATAATCTAGTTGAGATTATATGTATTGTTCGATTATTGTTAGGAGCCAGAATTATATGTATTGTGTTTGTATTAGGAGTAGGTTGAGCATAACCTACAGAGGAAGAAGATCGAAAATTTATTCATTGATGATCAAATATCATGATTCAAATTATCGAAGTTATAATTGCATCAATATTCCAAATATTCCTAATCTAAGAGAAGAATAATTTCGATTCTAATTATTTTCTAATATTAGCTAGCACAAAGAAGCATCCGAAAAGTTATAATCATAAAAAAGTCTTGAATAACCACAGTGAGCGAACACAAATAATACTACCTTAGGCAACAAAATTTCAGCAAAACACAAAAGTCTAAGTTACGACATAAATCATGTCTAATATATCAGGTTATACAAATCTTATAAGCGTTTCATACATAAAATTTTGAATGCCAATATTCAATTTTGATAATAATTTGTTATTAAAACGTAATTTGAGAGCAAGAAAGAAGAAAAAAGATGATGGATGTAGTACGTGAGGGTGGGGATGATACATACAGATGAATAATGAGAATTTTATTTGAAAGAGAGTAATGGTTGATGAGAGAGAATTTTTCTATGTTATTTCACCATTAATTTAGGAGTTTAAATACAAAAATAATTAATCAATTCCATTATTAAGGAATTTATTTATTTGATTGTATCTTTTAAAATATATGGTATAAAATATAAAAAAGGAAAAACTACATAAAATGACAAACTATATTTTATATTAAAATAATATAGCTATACTTCCTTAAATTTTTATTTTATGACTATATTTAATTAATAAATAGCAAATAAATATTAAATTATCCTTAAAAAAATATAGTATATGTCCCTAATTTCACGTTTATATTTCCTCCATAATAATTGTGCATGCACGCCTCACGTTTCTCTCTCTATAATCTACTCCTTTATTAATTATGTTCCTATTTTAACGTTTCTCTTCCTTCCATAATAATTGTGCACAGATATTATGACCTATTGGAATTAAAGAAGCCTATTTTCACGTTAATTCCAAGAAACCCATTTTTCAACTTCAAACTGATCTCCCAAATCCTCCCAAAATCTGATTTCACGTTTAGTCATTTTCCAAGAAACCCATTTTACAGCTTCAAACTTATCTCCCAAATTCTCCCAAAATCAGATTTATCATAAAATTCTTAATCAATTTAATCTCTATCAAGCTCCCGCGAAATTAGGTTTGTATTTTTCCAAATCAAATACGCCACATTGCTTGATTTTTGGAGATATTTATGTTGTTTAGATCATGCAGGTTTCTTCAATTTTTATTAGGTTAAATTCTTTAATATTTATTTGTTTATAAATTCTTAGGATTAGGTTGTTGAATATAATGTCTAAACGAAATACCACAAGGATAATCACAAGAGGTATAGAATATACCGAAAATTTCATGGTTGAAATACCATCTTTTGATCTAGGTATAACTCAGATTAAAACACAAATTTCAGGATATACTGCTGCAATGGAATTACATAAGAAGTCGAAAGATGAATTAGTAAGGTCTCCTTCAAAAAGAAAAGTAGGGTCAAGGTGAAAGCGATTGAAAAAAATTGTTACAAGAGGATGAAAGTAAAAAATGTAGTTACCGACATGATTGGAGAACATGCAGTTAATGAAGAACAAGACGAAGTCAGTGAAGAATTAAAGGTATGTACATTTTTAATTTTTTAATTTTTCGAATAATTTTTGCATATGTACATGCAGTGTACTTTAATTATATTAAGAAAGATCATGTGGAGTATATATCTTTTGATTTGTAAAATTTACTTAAATGAATATAGTTTTTGATTATGATATAGTATTAATGTTGTTGAATGGAGATATATATACATTTAGTTTTGTAAAAAGTACATAAGTGAATACATTTTGTATGAGACCTTTTTGTGTGAAAATAGACAGTGATGTAATGTATGCAGGTTGCATGTAAAAATTAGTGTATATTGTAAGAAATATCAAGATAACGTACAATAAGTCAAAAAAGATCATTAAAGCTTTTTGTACGTGTTATAATGTAATGTAAGTCGAACAACAACGGTTACGTTGAGTATATACCAAGAAAGTTTATTAGTAGTTTTTCCTTTTTTGAATGAGTTATCTTTCAGATTTCATGTATTGGCTCGCCCAATTAAACCACCATACATGCAGGTTTATGTGAACCATAACATAGTCACAGATTTGAAGGGAAAACTTACAGCGACCCAATTCAATCAATTTAAAGATACATGTTTTGGAGCATGTTTTGTGTTGCAAATGTTCAAAGCGCCATACGTGATTACATAAAAGGATATAGGTTGATGGTTGTCATTCCATAGAATACAATCGACAATGTGTTCATACCAGTGAACGTGGAGCATAAAAATCACTGGGTGTTGGCTGTTTTGTGATTAATTGACAAACACATTTATGTATATGAATCATACAGAGCAGCAGGTCATAACTATCACGTTACAGAAGAAATTCAAAAGTTTGCTCAGCTTCTGCCAATGAATGTTTCAATGGAGATTGGAAATAATTCGGATGATGCAGAAGATAACCACATCGCATACGAAGTGACGTATGTGAAGGATATACCTCAACAAGGATCAAGATTTTTTGTAAGTATAAAACAAGTCTCTTCATTCAATTTTCCTAAATAGTATGAGATTTTAAAAAGTAATGTATATTTTTTCAGGGATTGCGGAATATACTTGCTAGCATTTGCCGAGTACCTAAGTGAGGGTGAAGGTATTCCAGTTCAATACCTTGATTCTAAGTTATACCGCATCAGATACGGTGCACTCTTGTGGGAATATGCAATGAAAAAGATGAAAGACGGGGCTGATAGCGATAATGAGGCACCGCCAAGAAGAACGAGGACACCCGCAAGGTCGATAATAGTCAACTTGTTCTGATTGATTAGTATTTTGTACTAGTTCTATTTTTTGAACTTATGGTTAAAATTAATATTTTGATTTTTTGTCAAACATTATCAACTTTTCTTTATATTCATATATGATCACATTAGTTGTTTTAAATTTATTTCTGTGTTATTTCATAATTAATGAGATGATCATGACTTGCCATGATTTGGCTTTGGCATCGGTGAATTATTCAATGGCTTATCAGCTGCAACACAAGGGGATAAACGATATTTTTGACCATGTAAAACAATTTCCTGCAAAAGAAGTATAACATATTTTCGTATCATAGCTTTTTTTTCACATTAAAAGTAAAAAATTAAGTGACCCCATTTTTACATGTATAAACATGGTATCCATGCACATAATGACGCGAGCCCACAAACAGTTTTAACAGTCTACATATTGAGTAAACAAACAGAAAGACTTGTATGCATCAGGTTCATAGGGGTAAATACATTCAAAAGGGAGAAATTTTAGTGGCTCATATTTCAAATAAAGATCGTCGTGTGAAAAACTCATTTTTTGGGGGGAGTTTCTGATCATAATGACCACCTAAAGTTGGATTTCCAGTTGTAGTTTTTAGTTTGGGGTGCCTATAGTAGTATAGTTGCTTAGTCGTCCTTCCTCAAAATACATATACACTTGTACCAAAGAATTTGATTGCAAATATTTTAAGATTTACATAATATTCAATTATATCTTATTTAACAAATATTTTAAAATATTCAAAAGGCAAATAAGTCATCATTCCTTTATTCAAAATAACTAAACTTAACTACAAGAACAATTTAATAGTGTTATATAACAATTTCTATGCATTTCGTGTTGCAGTTCGATATGAACGCCTATTATGACCTTGTTGTCCACATGTACTACAAGAATTGGTACCCTTCCTTTTTCTCAACTCACTAAATGACTTTTCACGTTGCTTTTTTGGCCTTCCTGGAGGTCGCTTGAATTTTGGTGGCAACACAACTTCGGTAGCAATGTGTTCAGGTATGTTCCATTCACTTTTGTCAGGTTGAGGATATACAGGGACTTCATATGTTTTCAATATTGTTCCTCGCTTATAAAAATCTAAACAATATTCTTCTGAAAGCATGCGGTTTTATTCAACACACTCCACGCATGTGAGCACGGTATACCGTCAACTTGAAACATGTTGCAACTGCAAGTCTTTTTTCCAAGCATACAATATAACTCTTCCCTTCATTACTTACGGAATAAACGTAATTAGTTGACGGGGCAACCTATAATCAATACAGAAATTCAATTATACACTTTATTATTAAAGCAAATATCTTTGATTACTAAAATAAATGAATACACAATCCATTAAACAAGAATTTTTTTTCAATATACATACCATCATACGCCTAAATTTTTATTCATTTAGCAAAAGCATCTCTTGAAACTTCTTCTCAAGCAGTGTGTATGTGCGTGATGCATTTTTTCGATTTGTGCAATTTCATCTAGCAAACATCAATCGCACTTGTTCAAGAAAGTCAAATATTGGTAATTTTGTTGCTGCTACTAACGTCGAATTGATGCACTCTGCAATATTCGATGTCATAACCCAACCACGAGGAACTGGTGCATACAACCTTGCCCACTTCTCATATTCAACCATCTCCAAGTGATTCTTAACCCTTACATCAAACTGCTCAACCCTTTTCATTAGCTTATCCAAATCACTTTAAGTATATGCCTTTGCCATTGGGTATAATACTTCACTCAATTGATCATTTGCTTTTCGAAATTCTTACATACATTAGCCCACAAGTGCCATAAGCAGGCGTAATGTTGGACATTGTTGTATACAATATATACAACCTTAATTATGCTATTATGTCGGTCAGATACTACACACATATTCTCTCTTTCTCCATATGCTTTTTTGAATTGGTCAAAGAACCATGTCCAAGAAGCATCGTTTTCTGAATCTATAACTCTGTATGCCAAAGGTAATATATTCCCTATTATCATATACAAAAATATATGAATAATAAAAAAATAAAAATAAATTAAAATGTATGTATGTATTCAAATACCTACTCCATTCATAGTGCAGGCTGATAGGAATGCACCAGTGTATGCTGATTTGAGGTGGCTGGCGTCTACAACAACAATTGGCCTGCAATGATCAAATCCCTTTATAAAAGCATCCAGCGCTATAAAAACATACAAAAATTCGTCATTAGGTGTTTTCTTCATTCGTATATGTGAACAAGGATATGTCTTATCCAACGTATACAAGTATCCTGGTAGCTTCCCATAAGACGCAACTGGTTGCCCCATGATAAATTTTAATGCCTTCTCCTTTTATCGCCTTGCCAACATGTAATAAATATCAATACCCAAGTCCAACTTGACGTCATCCTTAATATCATTTGGAGTGTACTTCCTCTCATGATTCCTCAATTTAGGTGCTATTATTCCTCCAATCAACGAACTTGTTGTACGACAATCTGTATGCACCCCATCCTTTAAAGGATATACATGGATAATGTCGACTTATCCGTATAAGATCTGTTTGTAATTATTAAATCATTTTCAACATCAAATGCATCTACTGTTTGATCGCCAAATGCTGGTACGATTGCTAGTGGATCATCCTCACTATTTAATTCTTTATTGTATTCAAGTTGCAACACATCACTTTTAATAGAAGTTTCTCCAGAATCAGAATATACAATATCAATATCGTAAATACTAACATACAGGGGATATACTCCAATTTGAGTATTCATTTTTTTCAACTGAACATATAGGCGCACACCCATGTCGTTACGTATTTTCATAGGCATGTCGTCACCTTCGATAGTGTATTTAATCTTCATACTCTTCTTTGTAAGATCAATGTTTTGTTGTACAGAAATCACATTAACTAAATTAGAATATGAAGCATAATCCTTCAAAACAATCACGTCAATGATGTATTCGACACAACAATTTTCATCGCTCCATTTTCCAGAATGGCGAATCAAAAAGCAGATCGTTGCCATTTTTTTCGGTAGTACAATGTATAAGAACAGATTGCATACCTTCAATTTTTTATATGTTGATAAGAATCCTATTAAGGAAAGGTCAGTTACAATTTGAAAGTGCCAGATTAGTTGGCTAGAAAATAGGATTTTCATTTACATTTAAATTTCAATGTATTTTTTAAAAAAAAAAAAATTAGCCATTTTTTAAAACAAAGTGTAGCTATTTTTTAAAATATGATAAATATAGTCATCTCAATATAATAACGCTCAAACTATAGCTATTTATGTAAGTTATACTATAAAAAATGGTAATATAACTAATTGTCTGAAACTAGAGATTAAATTAGTAGAAATGATAGTAATGTATGTCTAATTAAGTAGTCTTTCCATCTTTTAAATTCTATACATTGGAAGAATTGACCCATAACCAAAATTTTAAAATGGACTTGGCCTGCTAGGCAGGTTCAATCTAAATCTTTAATTAAGTGAGGTTGGGCCTAATTTTTGTGACTCTTTTAGGAACGAGGCTTTTTAACCCAACCTTATTCGGCCGCTAACCTCGTAGGCCCAACCCGCAAGCCTCAAAGGTCAGCATGTGGGCTATGAATATTAAAAGAAAAAATTACTAAACTACACTACTTTATTTTACCTAATCCCAATATTTTTTTCACTCTTTTATTAAAATTCAAAAATTCCTTTTTTTACCCCCAATGATACTTAACCTTTTTACGTTGAAAATCAAAAACAAAAGTTTTCCTTCCCCAAAATTTTCGCCCAAAACTTTCCCCCTAAATTTTTCAGTTAAAAATTTAAAGTAAATTTGAAATTCAAACGATTTTCATCCCTATTCATCCGGAATTGAATCCAAAAACAGGTATATCATCTTCCCCATTACGATTTCTTCATTTTTTCCTTTTTTGCATTTTCATTGTTGTTCTTTAAATTCTATCTTTTTTTTAAGAATTGAAACCTTCGTAGATTTGAGTTATACGTCGTTGCATGACACTATAGTCATGACAAATTCAAATTCTAGCAAGAAAAATTCGTCAAAAAACAAACATGCATCTAATTCGAAAGACCCAACCCCCTAACAAAAAAAAGGGTAGAAAGGCGGCACCTCCGATTGTTCGACCAACACTTCCAACGGTATGTACGTTTGTTTTCATATCCATCGTGATTTTCATATGTTTTTCGTTAGTCTGATGATTTTGATTTTTATATTAAGTATCGATTATTTTGTATCAGGATTTTTATATTTTTTCGTTAGTCTAATGATTCATTTGTTTCTATTAAGTATCGTTTATTTTTTAGCATGATTTTTATATTTTTTTGTTAGTCTGCTGATTCATTTTTTTCTATTACGTATCGATTTTTTTTCATATTTCAGTTCTCTCATGATAAACTGATTTCTGTGTTAATTTTAAGTATTTTACATATATATTAATATATCATATATACTATTTAAGTATCAATTTGTTATATATATTTATTTGTATCTTTATATAAAGAATACTGATATAATTTGCTATTTGTGTATCTTTTTATGTTGGACACGAAATACAAAGATATTTAAATTTGATGTGTTGCTGTTATTTAGTATAAATTTGCATGCAAAATAAGGTATCAAATAATACTATTTAAGTATCATAGAGTCATAAAGGTGTTATTTAGTTTCTATTTTTGTGATACTTTTTAAGTATCATATTCACATTAATATTAATGTTCCATAGATATCCTTTTAAGTATAAATTGTTTTGTTTATACAACCAATAATCAAACTTGTGTATTTGAGTATCTTTTATGTGTTGGACATAAAAATTAATGTATCTAAGGTATATGTTTAACTTTAATGTTTCGTTTGTTATTTAGAATCAAATTGCATATAGATTACTGTATATAATAGTATTTTTTAAGTATCATGCTAATATATTTATTTTATTTAGTATCATTATTCTTATTATTTAGTATCACTTAAAACAAAAACATTATTATATGACATCAATAGTTTAGAAACATTTTATATATGTTACAAAATTGATAAAAAGTTTTTTATTTTATTGCAGAATATGATTTATGTAATTAAACATATTCCAACGAATGCTCTAAAGTTTGGTCCAACATACAACACCACTTTTGATGAACATTTAATATCATCAATAAAGGATGAAGGTATGAGTT